TTATGTGGTTATAGTTGTGCTCTGATATGTTCATTAAATACATATAACTTTGCATATGCATAGAGGTAACTGTTTATCCAACAGGGCTATTTTTGTGGAGGAGGCTTACAAGCCTCAGCCTAGCTTAGATGACTTTTACCCCTCCTGAATTTTAAAAATTGCACATTCAGTGTTATTCAGTGTTATTCAGTGTTACTTATTATAAGAAACCTGTAAGTGGTTTTTGGGTTTAGTGTGCTTTAGTATTTAGTATTTTAGAATGAAGGATATAACATTAATTCAGAAATTTAAAAAGTTTAAAGAACGTGATTTCAACAAGAGCAAGTTCAATGGTTTCTGGTAATTTGGCTTAATTTTTTCCTTCATGAAGAAATTAACTTCCTATTTTCCATTGCTATTGAGAACCAGATGAAGAAATAAGGTTAAGTTGCAAGATGGCTTTTGTTTTGTTTTGTTAAATATAAATCTAAGTAGGGAATGAAGAATGAATCTAAACAAAAATGTTAAGCACTATTCTGAATTTTTAAAATATCCAGTTCCTGCCTTTCATCCACATCTCCCATATTTAACTCTCATCCTATTGAGGGAAAGAGAACAAAATTCCAGTTGATTGCAAGGGGCTTTCTGCTTTCATGCCTTTGTGAACATTAATCTCCATGCAGGCTATCTACATGTTGGGAACTTTCCACTGTGTCAGGAACCAAAGCTCTGTCATCCACAGCACAGTGTGACCCACTTTTTAACAACACTTCAAACACTTCTTTTAAAGATTTCTTTTCCTTTTTGTTAAGCAGTTCCTTTTACCTAGTATTTCAATCACATAATTACTGTTTCTTCCCATTCTCTCTTAAACTATGGCTTTCTTCCTTGTTTATTTTTTGTACCTGCAGCATGGGGCAGGGGACATCAGCACATGTTCCTTTACCAACTACTAGCATTTAGTGCTCTGTGATATCTTCTGCTGGAAGTATTTTTGTTTAACTCATATACTGATTTTGTGACTACTCTTTGCATCATAGTGCTGTTTTCATTACTGATGTTTCTCTAATTTGAAGAATTTGCAAGATATTGTCTAATGAGCTGGAAAAAGAAATAATGGCAATTCATGATGTGGTAGTTTCCAGGAAGATTTTAGTTTGCAGTTGCTTTGATGAATGACAATAGACTTAGTAGCATAGTAGATGTTGTGCTAGCTACAAAAGAAGTATTAATTTTTCATTCATTATTCAACAAATATTTATTGAGAGCTACAAAACAGGTGCTGAGGATTTACTCTCCCCCCGCCACCCCACAAAAGAAACTAGACATGAAGCCTCTGTCTGGCAGTGGGGTCAGAAATGATTGTTGTAAGTGCTATGAAGAAAAAGAGGAGGAATCACATTTATTTAAGATGCATTCTTTGACCACCTCCTATTTTGTCTGAAACACTGAAGTTGCATAAACTGGGAAGTGGATCAGCAGCGCTTCCTGTGAGAGTGACCAACTGTAGGGATGTCTTGAAGTAGGTAAACCAGTTGTCTCTTTGGTGGTGTGTGAGCCACCATCAGCAAACCTCTCTCTGGTGTTCCTGCTGGCCTCTGCCATCACAGTCACATGTGTCACAGAAATGCCATTTTGGGACAGGTAGAGAGGTCAACAGAAGTGCTCACCATGGCTAAGAAAGGAAAAGGAACCAAGGGAGAAATCCTTGGGGGCAAGCAGACACGGGATGGGTAAGTGGGTCTCTGCAGCTATGCTCTTCCTGTGTGCTCTAAATGTGGAGTTTGGCTTTCCTTTCCAACTTTTGTTTAAGCCATATATCCCATCAGGATTTATTCTTTCCCTCCCCTCAACTGTTTGTTCAACCAGGTATCAAGTCAACAGGTCAAAACTTGCTATTTCCCACATTGATCTACCTTTCACATAGAGCTCTCTGCTCATTTTTTTCCCCTGTCTAGGTGGTTTTCAACCCTAAATACATGTTGAAATTATCTGGGGAATTTCATTTATTCATTTGCTCATTTATGTATTGTAGGGCTCAGGACCAAGTCAGGGCCTCATGTATGCTAGGCAACTGCTCTGCCACTGACCTATATACCTTTATTCCTATGCAGAGTTTTAAACAATACAAAATGTCTGACTTCCATCCACAGAGATTTGATTCAAAGAGCTGGGCATCATGACTTTTAAAAGCTCCCCAGACAGTCCTAATGTACTCACAAGGTTGAGGATCATTAGTCTAAAAGACAAGGATGATCAAGATCAACGTACCACTTCATTCACTAAAGGAAAGAAAACTCTGCCATTAAGCATGATCAGAGTCTGCTTTTTTAAAGAGAAAAAAAAATCACAGAAATCACAGTGTGTTAAATAGCCATTAGTTTAAAAACTATTGTAAAGACAGAGTTTCCATTCCATCTCTGGAAAGTCAAATCTAGAATAGATTCTGGAAATCCAAATCTAGAATGAGGCGGTAGGGTGTTAACTCTGTGGTGGTGAAAGTTGATGGAAGTTGGCCTAAGGGAAGGGGAGGAATGTTAAGTAAGCATGATTACTATGGAGTTTATAGGGAAGTTCACTTTGGGGGAGTGCCCATCTAAGCTTTTATAAGAAATTTGATATGATTTAATCAGCCCCTGCACCTAGTCCTGTGAACAAAGGATGGTGTAATGCACAATTTATTGGCCAACAGACAGAATAAAGACCAAAGGGGAAATGTTACAAGGAAGCATATTTTCATTCAATGTGAGGGGGAAGAGGGATGACTTTTTTGAAAACATCCAACAGTGTAGGAGGCAGCCCTGGAAGGTAGTGAGATTCTTGACTCAGAAATACTAATGAACGATTGCAACATCCCTTGATTAGCAATTCTGTGTATGAGAGATGTGTATGTTAGAGAGATGGTAGAAGGAAGAACTCATGGAATTCACAAGTCAATAGGATGAGAATATAATGTTTGAGCAAATATATATCTTTGGGCTGGGGATTTAGCTCAGTGGTTCCGCTGCCTGCCTCACAAGCAGAAGGACTGGAGTTTGAAACCCCGGTACCAAAACAAACAAACAAACAAAGAAAACCCACCAAAAACCAAATATATATCTTTAACCCTACTTTAAAATCAAATAGAATTTATATTTTTTCATTAAAATATGCTTGATATGAGAGAAGTGAAATACACTTAAGGTTCAGGCTTGTATCCTGTGAATGTCAGAATGTGGATAACTTTCCTGCATGTTTTCATTTTTACATCTAGTGCTCAGTGCCACTTAGGAAAAATGACCCAGTCTAGACATGACAATCTACTACACTCAAAGTCCATCCTGAGTCAGCCATCAAAAGATGCAGGGAAAATGTAGTGTGCATCTCTGATATTCTCCAGCTTCCTGTAGCTCTTTTCTATATCACAGGAACCCTGAATTTTGACCCTTGTCTCAAAATGATCATGCTACCTTCCACAGGTTTATCCTGACCTTCCCCTCAGGGTTTCTGGTGGAGAATGATGCTTATCTTAGGGCACTTACTTTGTCCTGCTCTTCTCCAACCTTCTTGCCACCAGATTCCTTCCTAGTCTTTCCAGTCTGCTTAGTTCCCAAGGATAAGAATCTGAGAAATTTACATTAATGTTGCAGTGACTAATGGGCTTACCCATCCTCAGGAAACAAGAGTGTCTTTGAGGTGGTTTTGGGTGCGGGTGGTGGGTGGGAGGGTGGAGGTCATGAGCAGAGATGGGAAGAGCCTTTTTCTTTTTAGTTCTAAGTTTGCAATTTGGAGCCCACTTGCAGAAGCTGCCACACATTATTTATGAATACAGAGGTACAAAGATAATACATTTCTTAGCTACAGATCTCTCTTATAAATGTAGGCAATGTCCATACATTATTCCTGTGTTATGTCAGTGCTGTGGTTGGAATATATTCCCCCAAAAGCATATGTTGGAAATTTAATCCCCAAAGCAATGATGTTGGGAAGTGGGACCCAGTAAGAAGTAAGTAGGCCATGGGGGTGAAGTGAATGGATAAATGCAAATATCTTGGGAGTGGGTTTGTTAACACAAGAGAGGGTTTGTTATAAAAGAGAGACTTGAGTCTCTCTCTCTCTCTCTCTCTCTCTCTCTCCCTCTCTCCCTGTCCCTTTTCTTTTCACCATGGGGTGATGTATCAAAAAGGTCCTCATCAGATGTTTGCCCATCAATCTTGGATTTTTTCAGCCTTCAAAATTATAATAAGTTTCTTTTAATTATAAATTACCCATCTCTGGCATCCCACAATAGCTACACAAAACAGATGAGGACAGTCAGAAATAATTCCTATGAATAATAAAACAAAATTCATGAAAATTACCACATAAAGGTCAGTTTTAGCTTGGAAAAGTCAAAATGGCACATCTTCCAAGTAGCCAGAAGAGCGTTTGTGTTCGGGGAAGGACATCATCCACATCCCATAGTAGACACTTGGAACAACATAACACTTACAGACCTTAGGTTTTCTCTAAGAATTTCATTTCTGTTGAATGCCATAAAAACTGAATGCTTTTTTTCTTGAGAAAATAATATCGATAGATTTCCTTCTGTCAGGAAAGATCTTTCTTCATCATTTTTCCTCCTCATAATCATAGGATTTTAGAACTGGAAGGGATTTTCTAATTCTGTCTTTCATATGCTCTATCTGAATTTTTGTAAATTGCACTCTCCTCTCTCCCCTAAAAGCAAAAAAAAAAAAAAAAAGTCTTTCCCATGCAGAAGTGTCAGAGTTACTTGTTTTTCTCTTTATTTGGTAATCAGTTCTTAAGACAGGATAGTAGGCAGCTGAGAAAGGTTTAGCTGTGAAGGACAGATAGCATGTCCTTCTATCCCTGGCCAAAATAACAGTCAAACAACGTAAAATTTTCCCAATTGTCAGTCTCTTCTGTGGAAATTCATCTAGTAAATCCTGCCTGGTTAATTTATGGAATAATAATATACACCCCCCCACACACACAATCTAACTTTCTTTCCCTCGGATTTCCCTATTTTGTCTTCACAGGTACCTAAGGTGAGTTTGAAAAGAGACTTGTAGTGAGGTGGTATTCAAACGTCACAGGCATCGAGGAGAATGGCAGCCAGTAAGAGACACCACGTGAAGCTGAAGTTTTCTTTGTGAGATGTTTCTGGGTCAGCCAAGCCACATGTGAAAATGAGCGGTTGGGATAGAGGTAGGTTCTCTCTTGATTATGTGGCTTAGAGAAGGGCTCTCTAACTTCAGCATCCTTATGAATTCCCTAGGGATCTTCATAAAACGCAGAGTCTAAATCAGTAGGCTTTTGGAGTAAGGTCCAAAATTCTTCCCTTCTAACAAGTCCTCAGTGGACATAGGTGTTGCTGGTCCATGGGGCAGAATGGCCTTCTTGGCCTCCTTCCTCTGTCCTCTTCACTATCACAGAGTTTTAGAACTAGAAGGCATTTTGAAGATATCTAGTTTAGTTTGTCTTTGTCTAGTTGCTCCAAAAATACTGTTCTACAAAATTACTGCTTTCAAATCACCAGGGGTATCTTTGAAAATCCAAATTTCCAGAGATTCTGAAGCAGAAGGTCTGTGGGTGGTCCCAGGCATCTGTATCTTTCCAAGGCCCCCTCGGTCCATTGGTGGAACCATTGATAACCTTCTCATTTTATAAACAAGAAAAGAGGGATCACAACTGGTCGCATAACCTGCTTGACAAGACCTAGTTAGAACTGTCCTCAGGATTAGAATTTCTAGGCAGTTTTTCAGCCCCACTACATCCTGTCAGTTGTCTAGGGTTGCTAGTTCTCCTAAGAGAGGAAGTCAATTTCCTACCCCCTGAAGACATGGTTCTTAAATATAAAGTAAAAGTCAGGTCCAGTGCTGTTTAATGGGGGCACATTCCACCAGACATTTTCCTCTTGCTGGGAGCAAGCCCAACGAGGCTTAATGTGCATTTGTTTCTATCCTGCCCCAAAAGGAAGTTGGATGGAGAAGGGCACTATGGAAATGGAACTGTTCTTCATATTTTAGTCCCCTGGGAGATAAGGTCATAGCCTAAAAGTTTTTGTTCTTTGGTGTTTTTTCCCCGACAACTAATGAAAATATTGCTTTTCAATGGCTCCTGTTATGGTTTGGATATGAAATGTCCTCTACAGGCTCATGTGTTGAGGGTTGGTTTCCCAATAAAGCATTATTCACGAGTAGGGCTTTTGGGAGGTGATTGGATCATGAAGGCTCTAACTTCATCCACTGATGGATTCATAATTTGACAGCATTATTGGGATGGTATGGAAACAGAAGGTGAGGCCTACTTGAAGGGAACAAGTCATGAGGGTCATGACCCTGGGGACTGCATCTTGTCTTGTCTCTCTCTCCCCTCACCTTCTGAGTTCCATGATGTGAGCAGCTTTCTTCAACAGTTTTTTTTTTTTCATCAGACCCTTCTAGCATGATGTTTCCGCATCGCTACAGTCCTAAAACCAATGAAGTCAACTGACCGTGGACTGAAACCTCAGGAACGGTGAGCCAAAATAATGCTTTTCTGCTTTAAGCTTTTATCAGGTATTTTGTCAGAGTGACAGAAAGCTGACTAACACAGCTTCCATATAATCGGCAACCCTAAAATGAATGTACTGTAGACCCTTGCAATGTAATGGTTTCATGTTTATTATCATTTCACTTACAATAGTTCTTTTATTGGGTTGCCTTAACCTGGTCTCTTTGACTTTAGCGTACACACTGAAACTTCACACAAAATCTGTACTATCGTCCCTCTCCTAAACTGTGCCAATTCATGGAAAGCAACTGTGGTTTAGATTTTTCTACTACAGTCTGGGTGACTCCTGTTTCACATTTTTGTTCCTTATGTTTTTCTTTGGAAAGAAGAAAATTTCCTGTAATGATAAATAAAACCATGTGCTGGTCCAATCCTGCATAATGATCTGGATATTCTTCCCACTTTCAGGGAGCCCAGAGGCCTCTTCTTGCCCAAATAGAAGCCTCTCAGGGCTGGTCTGTCAATGAGAAACTGTAGCTCACAGACCTCCTTGTGGAGGAGTTTCCTGGGGGACAGGAAATCTTGCAAACTGTCTCTGTGGGCTTCTCTGCCAGAGATGAATCCTCCCTTGTCCTATAAATGCTATGTCCAGTGACAGGACAGACAGAAAATCTTCTTTGGAGTGTATTTTCTTTCTGGAATAATCTGCTAAAAAGTAGCCTAAGACATTCTCATTTAAGGACATTACAAGCATTTCAGGAGCACTGGGTTTCAGCAGAGTTTCACTATAGTGTAGACAGCCCTGGACCAAGAAGGAGATGCGTGAGTGCTGGGCTCTCCTCGCTACATGGGAAGGTGTCCTGGGGAGCATCAGGATTCTTTTCCTGATCATGACCATGTGGTCACTCTGGGTGAGCACACTTGGTAAGCTGAACTTGAAACAAATATAGGATAGTACTTGTAGAACCAGGAAATGAGGTTTTACATGTTATGAGTAAGCACTGTTATCTTTCCTATCAGACTTTTACAAGGTGGTTGGTAAAGGATGGCATGGCAGCTGTGTAGTGGCTTTGCAGAGCCCCCCTTTCTGCCTGGCCATTGTAGTAGTGTTGTTAACAGGGTCTGGCTGCCACAGGTTGAAATCTGTCCCAGCATTGACACTAGGCCGCACTTTCCAGGGGCTGCCTCCCGCTGAAGGTAAAGAGGGTGGTGAGACCAGGACATCGGGAACACAGGACGCCTGATTCTGGCCGACAACCTTCAGTGCCCTTGCTGAAATGGCCCGGAGCTACAGGCAGTCTAAAGCTTCCCTCTTCCCTTCCTTTGCTCTCTCTTTCAGAGGAGTCTGGACTCACTGAGGTCTAACTGCTCTTCCTATAACCTCTGGCTCCCTCTGCAATTCTCTCCATTGACGCTGTGCTGACAAAGCTCTTGTTGCCTTCATCTCTGAGAATAACTGTTTCTTAAAGACCTGGACAAGTGTAGACTGTGAAGTCAGCTTCCCGTGAATGTCTCATAGCACCTAGAATGATTAGCTGTGGCCCTATGTTCCCGTAAGCCCTGGTGGCATTTTGGCAGGTACTGCCTACCTAGACTAGGTCAGTTTTCTGGTTCAGCTCAGTTTCAGGACCCATGGATAAGTCCTTCGCTAGTGTTCTCCTCTTGGCTGTGGAGCTTCCTGGCCACTGACTGCCTTTGGGGTCACTGCAGGAGCAGAACCCAAATGCCCATCTCAGGCCAGATCCACAGTCCACTCCTTGGACTGCACCCCGGTGTCTCCTCCGGGCCCACCACTTCTCTCTCTCTACTTACTTCCTCAGCCATGAAAGCCCTCATCCTGGTTTTCCTCACACACAGCAGCCCTTCAAGTTTCTCCATTAGAATGAAGTAGGTTGCGATGCGGTTTTAAAAAAAAATCAGTGACATATATAGTGATAAAAGCAACACAAGTTAACAGTCTTCATGCCTAGTGTGAGTCAGTAGGCAGGCTTCGGTTTGCCACAACTACATAGCTTCTCTCACCTGTGCTGCCCTGATATTGTGGAAGGATAGACTGGGATTGTGCTATCTGCAATTAAAAGTTTCTTCCCAGAAGTGACAGCTTCCATTGGCCAAAGCCTGTCACTGGCCCATGAAAAGCCAAGGAACTAAATGGAATACCTAATGCCACGTTCCCCTCAAGTAAATGGCCCTAAAAGCACATAAACTCTGGTAATTATCTCTAGGAGACTAGGAGAGTTAAGTTTCCTGAAAGGATGAGAAAAATAATTTATATCCTCCTAAGGTTGAGCCAAAAGATTTCTAACACAGCCAAAGGAGAAAGGTTGAGTTTTCAAGTATTATTGCAGTCTCACCTCTACAAATGTCTGTGTTGGTAATGAGGATGCAACCAGCAAGGGCATGGGATTATTTTTAAAGGACTGTAAATGTGATCAAAATATCCTATCAGTCACTTCTGCATAACACTATTGCAGCTCATGGCTTCTTGCCTAGATAGCAACTCTGCACCAGTTTCCGGGGATCCTGGAGGAGGAATGGAAATTCCTCAGGCAGGCAAAATGGTGATACCTGCCATTTTGTGACAGTGTGTAATTCTTGTAAAACTGAGTGCAGGAGCTAGATACCTGTCTCTGTGGAATGGACAATACTGGAAATGGAACAAGATAGGTGCCATGTTGCAAATGGCCTCAGAAGAATTGAATCATCATCCTGCTTGATCCCTCTGAGAGCTGCATTCCTCAGAGATGGACAGGCAAGGATTCTCCTCTCCAGCTGCAGCTAAATGGCTCTCATCCTAGAGCTTACCTTTTTGGCTCATTCTTTTCTCAGCATGTGGAGGACCAGTGAGAGAACTTTTAAACAAACAGTACAGTATATAGTAAAATTCCATTTACCTCCAAATAAGACTAGGTTTCAGAGTTTAACTTCTTTGGGCTACTGCGACATTATACTATTCCAGTTACTTTGCTGTAAAAATTCATTCAAAAATATGTACCATTCCAGGGACGGGAAGTACAGCATTGAGCTGCTCCACATTTCTGCATGACTGAGTGGATGTGGCTCTCTGACATATGCCAGTAAAGCTTTTCTTTGTCATTACTCATAACACAATGGCTAAGTGTTCTATGTTGCTCTGAAAAACCAGATCCCAGTTAGATTTCTGTGTGTGACAGGGAAGCACTTTCTCTGGGAGCTGTTTTCAGATATCCTTGCCAAGTTTTATGATCGGCTGATGTTTTCTTCTTAACAGTCCTTATTTAACCTGGAATATAAGGAAAGACCTGTGTTTGCCTAAGGTGCGACAGACAGGATTGATTTCAGTCTCTTAATAGTCCATTGGTATGAACTATTGAGAAATCTTTCTGAAGAAGTATTTTTAGAAGTGTGTGTGTGTGTGTGTGTGTGTGTGTGTGTTTAATGGAGTTAAGAGCCCCTTTCTTCCACTACATTAGAGACATTTTTGTTGCAGTGATCCAGATTTGTTGGAAGGTAAGAGTTAGAGGGAGATGCCTGGTTTTAACATTATGAAAAATGTTCAAATTAGCATAAGGGAGAAGTTACATTATTGATTTATAACACGATCCCTAATTGGAATATAATAAAGTATTCACAAACTTTTCTCAGATATTAGCTTCTTCAATACTGGATAAAATTATCAGTCCTCCACGAGAGTTTCAGAATTTGTAGAAGGCATCTGCTAAATCCATGTTGTTTCCAGGGCTTTGGTGGCACTGTTATTTATCATCAAATTTAATCTGCTAAAAATAAGATACTAGAAACCAAACACAAAGAATACAGGATGCTATGTACAATTTATTTGAACATCTATATGTAGCTCTGTTGTAGACCTAAAGGTCTTATCTTATTTAATTAACTGATAAATACATTGTGTACTTGAGCCCAGGCACAGAAACCATCTGGGTGCACTTTTGTGGGAACAATAGAATTCAAGATAAAAGGAAGATAGCTTTTTATGATATGAACCTGGAAGTCAGATATGACACAGGTTAAAATCACCAATACACCCATCTTGGCTGCTGTAATATTTTTCCTTGGTGGTTGGACATTGCATTTATTTTCTTAGGCCCCGGATTCTTGGAAGTAAGTGACATAGTCCAAGTGATATGTGCACAAGTGATATGTACAGCTTTCTGTTTAGAACTGTGAACTAGAATATCTTCAGTGACAAAGGACAGGAGAATCCTAACTGTTGCTTAAATAAGAGCATTTAATTACTTGTTTAATAAGAAGTCTAAGGGTGTTTCCAAATTAGACGGGTGGTTCCCCAGTATCAGGCTGTTAAATCAGGATCTCCACCATTGTCTTCACCTGTTCTTCAGGCTCACAAGGTAGTTGAAATAATTTTACCTACTATGTCTTCACAAACAACAACTGAAAACTGAGGAAGGAGGTGGCCAGAAAGGCAAGATTTTCTCCTTTTGCACCTCTCCTATTAGGAAGAAAATCCTGTCTAGAAACATCAGGTTTCCTCATTCATCCTACTGCACTGAAAGGTTCACACGCCCACCTTACAGACCATTACCATCAAAGGGGATGCATCGGGAGTGCCCCAGATGGCTTAGAATAACAGGATTTGTTCTCTGGAGCTGCATTCATTGTCTCCTGTGCTAAGCAGACTAATGCTCCTAACGAGGTCCAAGTCCTAACCCCTGTGATTCGTATCCATGATTAAGATACTGAGATGAGGGAGTATCCTAGATTATCTAGATGCAATCGATAAAATTACAAAGGTGGCAGAGGAGGAGGAGTTGAAGTTAGAGAAAGAGATGGAAGAAAAGGTTAGAATGATATGAGATTACAAACTAGGAAATGAGAGCAATGTACGGTAGCTGGAAAGGCAAATAAATGGATTCTTTCCTAAGGCCTTGGAAGGCGTGAAGCTCTACTGATCCATTTTCAATTCTGGACTTCACAACAGGTTCATAACAAATTCATGTTCTTTTAAGTCACTGAGTTAGTGGTAATTTGTCAGAGTCACTCTAGGAAACTAATATGCCTCCAAAAGTTGGGATTCTGTTATCAAGAATGTAGAGGGGCAGAGCTATGGGTGTGGATCAGTGCAGAGCACTGGCCCAGCATGTGTGAGACCCTGAGTCTGATTTCCAGCACTGAAAAAAAAAAAATGGAGAAATACCTGTGATAGTTGTGTGTAAGTAACTAAGAATGTCTCCCCACATCAAAAGAATTTAAGTCACTGAAAGGTTCAATGGTAGTGAGTAATAGGTTAAAGAAAACACGGTGCAGCCTAGGGTTTGAGGTGTGTGGAGTTGAAGTTTGAGTGACCGTATCGGTGGGGCTAATTCAGCTGACCTACGAATAATACGATCAAGTTGATTGCACAGAAACAGGGATCTTGGGAGGACCATCTTGGACAAAAGAACAGCTACATGCTAGGATTGTGGAAGAGAATTAAATCTCTATAAGAAGCAGCCTACAGAACTGGACCGCAAGGTCTTGGCAATTTGGAATGCACAAAACAAGAGTTTTGACAGTTGATGAGGATTTTATTGAGCTAGGCTCACAAATAGGTTGGGAAACTTACACAAAGACATTTACCCTTAGACTAAGAAGATGCCATGGAAATGGCCATCGGCAGGATATTTTTCTGGTCACCTGATCCTAGGATGTAGCTCTTATCTTCAAAATTCAAGATGGCTGCTCAGGGTTCTGGCATCCCATTTGATTATGGGGTACTAGGATGAGGGAAGGTAAGTAGAAAACTATGCTGTTTAATTTTAAGGAGACATCCTAGAACTTCCAGGTTGCTTCTGCTTACTTTTCATGGCTGGAACACATACATGTGGGGCAGTGTAGTGGCAGGGGATGTCGCGATCTACCATTTTTAGCTGAATGCCAAGACATCTAATTAAAACAGCGTTCATAAGGGCAAAGGGGAACGTATATATTGAGACAGAATTTAGAATCTCTGTTCCAGGGAGTAAGCGGAATACTCTATAATAGTGGTGCTTGTTTTCTTGACAGCATGAACAGTTAAGGAACAAAGCATTTTTAAAAATTCCATGGATAATCAAATAATGCTGCTTCCCATTCTCCTATCAGGACTTCCAATTAAATGTGCTACATGGAACACCATTTATCCCTGCTCTCCCCTAAAACTCCATTAATGTGTTACTGAACACGCTTGAAGAGCAAGTGAGAGTGTGGCGTTTTGTGGAAACCAGAGTGCTTAAATGAAAGAGTGCATATGGAACAGTGAGGTGCCTTCCCACACTCCTTCTCTTTCTCTAAATGTTGGCTGTGGATTTATCAGTCTTTAGCCCCTCCTTCCCCTCATCTCTACCCCCACCAAGGAAGAGATTGGAAGTCTTTCTGTAGAAAATGACTAGCTTGGGAAAACACACTTAACTTGAAAACAGTTTAATTTAGCCCTTTTTAAGATGAAAAAAATAGGTTATGACATAAATGTGCCTAATAAGAGACAGAAAGAAATAAAAGGTCAGTTGAAGCAAGTTTCCTGGTTAAGGATAGAGTTATTTTCCCCAGGCTAGTAAGAGATAGTTAATTAAGGGACTCTTATATTTTATTATATCAAGAGCACCATGGGTAAAAACTGAGCCAAAAGGGCAAAGTTCTTGTTAGGTTTATTTTTTAGCTTACAGATGATCTGACTGTTGAAAATATAATTATAGGTCCTCTTAAATATTTGCCTACTAGAGGTAGTCTCCTCAGTATGTAGTTTCTCAAATATAAATGGTGGTTGTAATTTGTCCTCTCGAGATTCTATACTGTAGGAAATTCTGTTTGCTAGAGAACTGCTTATTTACTTAAACTATAAACTTTGTTCCTCATGGGAAATTGAATTTTCTGTGCCGTCTTGTTATTGTTATAATTAAACCACTGATTATCATCATACTTGTTATAGTTAGCATTTTCAGTATTTGCCATGCAAACTATCTACACATTTCTTCCTTGAAACTGTGTAAGTGAAAATATAAGGTGGAGTTAATAGAATAGTCAGCTCAAAATCTCAGTCTTGTATAGGGGAGAGACACAAGACATAGAAACCTGAAACATGATAATCCTCTGAAATAAAATTATTGTCTCCCAAGTCATACTTTACAGAAGCAGCCCCTGCTCATTAGACACCCCTGCCCATGCACACACAGGTTCCAGGGTCTCTTTCTTCACTGAATTGCTCTTAAATACAAACAGGGCATCCAGACATTTGGAAAAACATGTAGCATTTAAGGCAGAGAACAAATAATCAAGGAGATACCTGATACAAAGGGAGGAGAGAAAATGCAACAGAAGAAAATTTCAGATTAAAGAGGCTGTGATGTCCATAGTAAAATAGCTGAGATATTATAGCAAAGAGGAGACGTTAAGAAATAACAAGAAAGAGGATGGCCCTCAACTTCAACTTGAAAGGGAAGCAAAAAGACTCCAAGATACATAATAGGAGAGAGGACAAAAGGAGGCCCAGCGTCAGTCTAACACACATTGAAGTGAACAAGAACAGAAAATAGAGGGGCAGAAGCTATGAGGGAGAGAATGGAGGCCAGGTGTGGTGGCTCCCACCTGTATTCCCAGCACCCTGGAAGGCTGTGGCAGGAGGATCACAACTTTGAGCCCAGCCTGGGCACTTGGCAACGTAGCAAAACCCTACCTTAAAATGAATGAATGAATGCATGAATAGGAAGAAGGGAAGGAAGGAGGAGGAAGCAAGGAAGGAAGGAAGGAAGGAAGGAAAAAAGAAAGGCAGCCTGAGGATTCGCTCAGTATGAGGCCCTGGGTTCTATTCCCAGTACCATAGAAAAAAAAGATAATTTTCAGAGTTACAGGCCATAAGGTTTTTACATTTAAAGAGTCCATTGCATATCCAGTAACATGGCTGAAGAGAGGCCACGCCGGGGCATATCATACAATTTTAGATCATTAAGGACAAAGCCAAGCTTT